TAGGGCCCCCATATATTGACTCCAGCCCAGGGGCCCCCATCCTCCTAAATCCAGCCCTGGTTAAGAGCTTTGTATTTTAGAAGTAAAATGTTCAGTTCTGAATTTTAGACTAAGCCCAAAGAGAGAAGCTAAAACTAGAGAACATTTAACAGAAATATCCTGATGCATGCTCAGTCATCCAGGTAGACGAATCTAAAGAAGTTGAAGCATGTCATCTGGACAGTTTCTTTTTGTAAGAAACATTTCATCCAAAGGACTTCATCAGTTGGAGACCTTCCACCAGGATCTGTCCAACAGAACCAGTCCAACCAGTGAGGTCCTCTGGAAGGATTAAAAACATTAAATAGAAGTGAATGATGTAAAGTTGTCTCTGAGAGTATGAACATCTGCTGGTGTTTGAACACAACAAAACATCTGGAGGGGAAACGAAGCAGTCAAACTTCATCCATCCATCCATTTTCTTCCGCTTATCCGGGATCGGGTCGTGGGGGTAGCAGCCTAAGTAGGGAGGCCCAGACTTCCCTCTCCCCAGCCACTTGGTCCAGCTCTTCCGGGGGAATCCCGAGGCGTTCCCAGGCCAGCCGAGAAACATAGTTCCTCCAGCGTGTCCTGGGTCTTCCTCTGGGTCTCCTTCCGGTGGGACGTGTCTGGTAAACCTCACCAGGGAGGCATCCGGGAGGCTAAACAGATGCCCGAGCCACCTCAACCGGCTCTTTCGACATGGAGAAGCAGCGGCTCTACTCTGAGCCCCTCCCGGATGATCGAGCTTCTCACCCTGTCTCTAAGGGAGAGCCCAGACACCCTGCGGAGAAAACTCATTTCAGCCGCTTGTATCCGAGATCTCATTCTTTCTGTCACAACCCAAAGCTCATGACCATAGATGAGGGTAGGAACGTAGATCGATCGGTAAATTGAGAGCTTCACCTTTTGACTCGGCTCTCTCTTCACCACGACAGACTTGTACAGCGCCTGCTTCACGGCTGACGCTGCACCTATCCACCTATCGATCTTGCGTTCTATTTTTCCCTCATTCGTGAACAAGACCCCAAGATACTTGAACTCCTCCACTTGGGGCAGGACCTCCTCCCTGACCCGGAGAGGGCACTCCACCCTTTTCCGGCTCAAGACCATGGCCTCAGATTTGGAGGAACTGATCTTCAGAGTCAGAGATTCTTTATTGTCATTCGCACCTCATGTGGTACATGTGGTGGAGCAAAATTATGTACACAAGGTCCTAGTTACATCCAACAATAAAATGTATAAGAAAAACAGTAATAACATCTAAGATATGAACTAAGAAAAACATCAACTAAATATACACTAAGCACTCATAACATAAAACATTGAACATGAGCACAAACATGAGCATGAGTCTGAGTGGATGTGCACGCATGAACACCAACATGAAACAGATCAGCAGCAACATGATATGGTTTTTCACAGTGATTATTCTAGTTGGAGATTCATGAGTCTAACAGACTCAGGGTAGAAGCTGTTCCTCAGTCTAGTGGTTCTACACTTAATGCTCCTCAACCTCCTTCCTGCGGGGAGTGGGGCAAAAAGTGTGTGTGCTGGGTGAGTGGGGTCCTTCATGATGCAGGTGGCCCTCTTCCTGCATCTGGAGGTGTAGATGTCTGTGATGGTGGGGAGACTGACTCCAACATCTTCTGTGCAGCCTTCACCACTCTCTGCAAAGCTTTTCTTTCTGCAGC